GCCCCTTATTTTTATTTCTAATGGTGACACCGCATCAGGAAATTCCCTCCCATCACCCGAATCACTACCAATCTCACCAGAAAAGTCCTTCATAATTGGCAAACTATTAGGCTCATGGTAGTAGATGAATTTTTTCAGAATTCTAATTTTTACTCAGAAGGTTATATATTTTTTCCTTGGCAAGAAAGTTCTTAATTCCCTCCCACCCCCCTTCCCACTTGAAACAACAGATGCTGCTCTGTCCCTGTGGAGAAAAACCTGCCAGGCCCGGGAAAGTGGAAAACCACAGCGTCTCCATCGTGCTCTCAGATTACAAAGTGCTCCCCGGGCTTAGTGACTCTTTACTTTCTGGCTCAGTCACCCCTGTGTGTGACCTTGAGAAGGCCACCACACACTAATATGCAGTAGGATAGCATTTGTACCCTTCCCATTTTGTTCCACAGAACATTGACACACAGGTTTCGGAGGATTGGGATTAATGAAATCGGTAATGATTGCAGCAGTTTCATGCCACTCATTGATGGGTATTAACGTGCCAGCTGTCTTACCCATCAGGATTTTGTAGTGTTTTTGAAAATATCAACACAGTGGAAAAGGCCATAGAGTGAACATGGTTTTGCCTGGCCTGGTGGATCTCCAGAAGGGTTGCAGAGTTGGGCTCATGGACCTTGAGAACTGTGGCTCGTGGGGAACTTCTGGACCTGTAAGCTGGGAGATGCCGCCATCATGAATTTCAGGGCAGCACTGTTAACAAAAGCAAAAGCTCATAAACAGCACATCTTCCTATCAGGAAGGGACCACACTGTCAGGGTATTTCTGTAAGGCAACCTGGATGAATTTTCTTCTTTGGGAACTGGGAACTCTCTGGGGCGTTGCAGAGCGTTTATGTCAGAACTGTCCCTCCTAACTCCCCTCCCTGTGAGTTGATGTCCCTTGGGCATTACCTTGGTGAACTCGTGGCCTGTCCACAGGCTGAGCTGCCTCCTAAGGCTCTGCAGAGAGCCCAGGACCGGTAAGCAAAGAGATGCTGTGGCCTGTGAGGTTGATGGGGAAAAGAGATGCCATTTTGAAGGAGGGCCACTTAAGTTCACTGAAACTGTAGATAAACTCACTCCCTCACCCTCTCCCATGGAGCTAACCATAAACCCACTTAGAGGAAACCAGGGTCATCAAATAGGAACAAATAGGGCAAACTTGGGAGTAGGGCAAACATGAAGCCACACTGTCCCATGACAGGCAGATCGTCAACAGTGTCTGGGAAATGTAAAGTTGGTGGCAATTCTGTGACATCTCATAGCATTCCTGAAACTGGGGTAATGCGGTTACTGTGGAAACCTGAACAGAATATAACCTGAAAGCAAAATTCAGGTAGGTACCAACGTTTTGGGAGCCCTGACCCAAGAGTCAGGCAAACTCACAATAAAAGCTTCCTTGTTCCTTTGCACTTGGTCTCTTCTGTGGAGGCTTAGCTTCACTCCCTGCCATCTGCTGCTACAAGGTGTCATCTTGCAGCTTACTTACAAGTCTTAGCTACACCAAAATTGAGTGAGCTGAGGGAACATGGTGTGGGTCACCCACAGGTATCTGCTAGGCTCAGAAACTAATGTTAAGAGAAACATAGGAAGTCAGGGAATTCCGTACTATGTCTGTATCTCTTTAAAGTCCAAAATGCATAGAAGTATATAATGCATTGTTAAGAATACAATTATGGATATTATGAATATATGCTTTTGGATATTATGAAAGCAAGACAGGCGGGAAAGAGTTTATCACATGGTGAGGGACAGTCAGCATGTTTGCTCTTCAGAAAGCTCAAGTCAAGGTGTAGTTAGAGATAAAGGAAGCTGGCTAAAGAACTGACTAATTGGTGGTACCTTTACAGCCAATCTTCTAATTCATCCTGATTTGAAAAGTAAAGGCAAACAGCCTTCCAGAAAGGGGGTGATAGGACCAATTCTAGCCCAGGAAATCCCCGCTGCGCTTAAAGCTGGAGAAAAGGGAGCTGGGGCAAAGCCCCCTCCTACCCTTCAGCACTCTGTGGTTCCCTCCCTTTCGGGGAGCCCCTTCTTCAGTCTGTCCCTTTATCAGGGGTGGACAGGCAGGGCGTTGCTTGTTTGTTTATACAGAACTAGAAGGGTGACTGTGGGCTGAGCAAACTCCTGGCTTAGAGGCTTGATCCTTGGAACAAAATATGAGCTTCCCTGAAGCCCCCCCTCCAGGCCCTTCCGGCCCCTCTAGCCCGTCTGCCTGATGCCAGATCTCCCCAATGGGTCACAGAGTGTTCCCAGCTCGGAGACTCCAGCTCTGCCACTGAGGGACGGGGACCTCAGCTTCCACAAGGGGTGAGTTTTCTTCCCTCTCCTCTCTCTTCATTCTTTCAAGTCCGTTTACTTTCTCAGGCTCATTAGAGAAACAACTCCCCTTTTGTTCTTATTTACTATAACATTTTAAAGGATATAGTGGGGTACAGTTAATTGTTATTTCAGGAACGTGTGACATGAGAGTTGGGTGTGCTTTGCTTTTAAGACCCTTCTTATCGTTGTCCTCAGTGTTAAGATCACAGCCCTTACTATTTTCTGGGTCTTGAGCTGTCTGATTTCAGACTGATCATTTGTAAATTTGTAGGACCTCTTAAAACTGTTTGGGACTGGCAAGGAAGTGTCTGAGGCAGTCATTCTTTTCAAACTTAGAAGTTTTTAAAAAAAATAAACTGTTTCGAATTTAAATGTACACGACTGCCATTATTTCCAATATATATGGTGTCAGGGGGAAATAGTTACTCTATGAAGACTTCCGCGAGCCTTCAGCAGACAAATGCACAGTAGAAAAGCGAACAAGGTACAGACAGACACCGGGCTGCTGCAAATAACAAATGAGTAATCAAAAGATATACAAACGAAAATGAAGCACCACCAAATTTTTAGAAAAGGAGGGTCATGTTGTCACTCATTACATAGACAAAATGTTTTAAAAAATGATAATACCCACTGAAGGCAAGGCTGTGTGACAGCAAGGAAGCGCACACACTCCGTTCGACTGACATGGTCTCTCTGGCGGGCAATCTGGCAGCACCAGTTAAAGATCTTTCTGTTTTAAAAATGCAGTTGGGCATAGTGGTGAGTTCCTGTAGTCCGGACTACTTGGAGGCTGACACGGGATGACCCTGCGTTCAAAGCTGGTCTGGACAACTTTGTGAACCCTTGTCCCAAAGTAAAAACTAAAAAGAGTTCTGATATAATTCAGTGCAATTATAATACCACCACCACCACCACCACCACCAAAAACAAAAGAATAAACAAGAAAAACATGAGGCATTCTCAAGGCCTAAGAGTTCAAATGACTTGGCTGAACTCCTAAAGACACTTGAGTTAGAGGCTGTGCCACCACCGGGACTCAGCGACCAGCTACTACTGGTAGCAGTGTTCAAGATGCAACATACTGGAAAGCAGCCTAAATATTCTACTACGGAATTATTTAAAAAATTCTCACATGTCCATGGTAGAACATCAAAGCCATTGAAAGAATAATTGATAGCATAATAAAACATATACAATGTAAGGCTTGGTGAAAACAGGTACCAAAACAATAGATACAGTATGTATAGTACTACTTTTTAAAAGGGTTATATACATGCTTAAAAATATTTGAGGAAACATTATCTCTGGATGGAGGAATTATAGATGATTATTTTTTTAATTTTTATTTTTTTTCCATAATTTTATTGAGAAACAAATAGCAATGAGACAGTTTCAAACCAAATTGGTAGGACAATTTCAATAATTAACACATTGCATACTCTCTTCCTAGTGGTTATTTGCTGTACAAGATGCGGACATGATATCCTATTTACAAATACTATTAGAACAAATCCCTCTATTCATTAAGAGAATGTAACTATATCTCTATCCTAACCATTTTGAATATACAGATACAAAATGGACATTCATCTGTATCCCCTTTTTTGTTTAGTTCCATCATTTGAATATTATAGGTGCGTTAACTCAGCAAAATATTCTAAAAGAGTCCAGTAGTCCATAATAGTATTGGGTCTTCCACTTGACTGGCAATGTCAGAAATTGTTGACCTGAGTCCCCTAGATGATTAATTTTTTGGGGTCTGTTTTTGGAGGTAGTTTTCCGATTTTCCAATAAGTAGTACAGAAAAAGCCCCATATTGTGGGATGTTTTTAGGAAGTAAAATACTTCATATTTTTTAGGGGAAATTTCTCCATAAAAGAATTTCATTATAAGGGGAGCGGGAATCATTTTGCAACTCATGGTACAGACCTCTGGATTCATTCATCATTTATTCATGCATCTATTTATGCATGTTTCACATGCTGCTTCCAGAAAGGTCCTGGTGCCTTTCCTTGCGTGGTACTGTGACACATGCAAGGCTGCCCTTCCTGTTCCAAGTGTAAGAGAGGGCAACCCCGCCTGCTTTTGGCATTGTTGTTGGTGCTGAACGCAAGATGTGCAGAGTTTCAGGGGTATAATGGGAACTGTCATTACTATAGCACAATATTATAAAATAGAAATATATTTATGAGTTAATGGTAATTCCCTCTTACACTAATATAATCTGATTACTATAGTGTCTATATTATATGAAAACATGATGGAGGGAGAAGCCATTCTAGCCACCTGGCTCAGAAGAACAAGTCCTGGAGATCTAGATGGCGACCAAAATAGTTCTTACATCCATAAGAAAGCATGCTATAAAGCCCTGCTCATACTTCTTGTTTTCCCATTCAATGCTCTGTGAGTGAGAGACCCTGCCGACTGGTTGCAGCTTCTGTGACGAGAACTGTGGGGACCTCCAGTTCGGCTTCTCTTTCTGTCTCCCTTCCTTCCTGCCCGTGCTTTCCCCTTCCCTTCTACACACTTATTTTCATTTTTTTTTGTGGAGCCGGGGATTGGACTCAGGCCCTTGCGCTTGCCAGGTAAGCGCTTATTCTACTGAGCCATTTCCCCAGCCACTACACACTTCTTTTCTTTCTTTTTTAAAAATTTATTTATTTAATTTGTGTGTGTGTGTGTGTGTGTGTGTGTGTGTGTGTGTGTGTGTGTGTGGCCAGCTCAGCCCACCAGGGGGTGGGGCTCGCTGGCATGTGGTGCTGGGGGATTGAACCCACTGAGCCATCTCACCAGCCCTTGTTTTTTTTTTTTTCTTTATGCCAGAACTAGGGGTTGAACTCAGGCCCTTGCGCTTGCCAGGGAAGCACTTATTCCACTGAGCCATCTCCCCAGCCCCCTACACCCTTATTTTCTGATAACCAAAGTGATACATGTTTGAAGCTGAAAATTTGGAAAATACACAAAGAAAACCGTAATGATTACTTATAATCCTCTGCTCACTCTCAGAAGTAACTACAGTTTTTTTTTTTTTTTTTTTGAAAACAATAATTTATTGGTTTTCTTTCCAAAGTATTGTGAACTTACAAAAATGAGTGAAGTTTACAGATTGCTTAGTTCATACTTAGAATGCAAGAGGTGAGGACCTGCTCTGTGTGGCCGCTGATGGCGGCTGGGCACTGATGTTTAATACCAGCTCCCCCAGTCTTGCACTACTGCCTTGGGGGGCTGCGCTCCTTACACACCGTCTTGTGACATACTTAGGTCACCAGTCAAGTCACTGGAATGTAGAGGGGCTTTTTTTGTTGGGAGGGGGACTTTTTTTGCTTTCCTGCTATAAAAATGAAATCTTCAGTTCATTTCTGAAAAATAAATTGGTCAATAAATTCATTTTGTTCTGCTTCTACTTTACACAAAGCTTCATATTCAACTCGATACCTTTCTAGCTGCATTTTCTTTTCTGCTATTAATGCTTGAAGTTACTGTTGCTGGGCCTCCCGCTGCTTTGCTATAGATTTGAGCAAATTCCGAGCCCCAATGGCCTTCATCTTCTCATTTTCTGCTTCTTTCGCAAGTTGGTCAACAAGCTCAATTAGACCACCAACTATTTTCTGAAACTGGCCAATCTTGTCCACAAAGTCCTTGCACTCTTCTTTGAGCTCTGTGGTGTGCTGTGTAACCTCGGGTCTAACACCCGCAGCTTATTCAGCTCATCAAAGTGCAAGCCGGCTTCGCCCAGGATGTCTTTGGCCATAGCTGCCAACGCGGTAACGGCGGCACCCTTCGGCCCAGGCAGCTGCTGTGGACACACAGCTTCTTTCCCCAGTACGCCGCCACCAGTAAACAGCCGGCCGGTCTCGGCCGCTGCCACAGCTACAAGGTAACTACAGTTTGACATCCACATTCTTTCCTCTTTTCTAAGCATTTCCCCCTATATTATAGGACATGTACCCCTAGGAACATCATACTACACCTAGCTTAAAAATACTTCCTGTTTGGGACTGAGCGAAAATTTTCCAGGGGTCTTAAAGGTTGCTCCTCCACATGATTTTTAATTGCTGTGTAGTATTCTGTTCCAAGAATGTATCATAAATAGTTAACCATTCTTATCTTAATGGAATTTTAGGTTGTTCCCAATTTTCCCTTTTATAAATAGCTGTGTGATAAGCATTCTCTCATCAAAAGCTTATGTACATCCTTATTCGTTTCCTTAAGAATTTTTTCTAAAAGTGAAGTTGCTTTGTTTGAAAATTATAAATAGCAAAATTTTTTACATATTCATAAATAGTTGGATATTTATTGCTAAACTGTCCTTGTGAAAGTTGTTAGCAATGGACAACAGAGTCAGTTTGCCTACACGTGTGACCACTCCGGATTTTTTTTTTCTAATTTTGGCGGCTTGAAGGCAGGCAAATGCTATCTAGCTGTGGTCTTAATTTGCACTGTTCCGATGACTGCAGTGAGAGCTCCACTTCTGCTATTGTCCTGTCTGAGGTTAGTTTGCGCCCACAGCTGCTTTGCATTAATCAGCAGCTTGGTGCCATGCTTCAGGGAGACACCCCCTCTCCTCTGATGCCTTCTTAAGCACAGTGACAGTCTGATAGGACTTCTTATTTGCTTCTTATTAAATCATTTTATACCTATCTCTTTAAATCCCTGCTCTAACCCCACAAGGCGGGTATAGTTATGAGCTTCACTTCCCGTGTGAGCAAGAGGAAGTCTGGAGAATTCCAGTAACCTGTCTAAAGCCTCGAGCCCAGAAATGGCCAAGCCAGCCCCAGCTCTTAACCACTTCATCGATCGTCGGTACCTCAGAGCTCATAACTGTAGAGGTCTCATCCTACTTGATTTCAGGCATCTCTCGTTCAGCTGGGAGCTCCGGGTCACACACGGAGCCTGTCTACTTGGGGTATGTTTCAAAAGCCACTAGAAAGTTGAAGGGTTTGACTGAGGACATAGCTCAGTGGTCCAGTGCTCATGTGGGCTGAGCAAGGTCCTAAATTCAATACCCAGCACTGAAAAAGGAAACCCAAATAAATAAAAAATAAAGATTGAGGTGGGTTTGAGGATTATGGATAACTCCAGGGTGTCCTTGCCCTTACCTAGTTAGCTTCAATTGTAGCTGGTTAAGTAGAGTGCTTTTTGCATTTACCTAACTCTTCCTCATTTGCTCCTGTTCCATTTCTGAGTAGCTAATGATGTGTAGGAAAGTGGGAAGGTCAGAGAATAACAAAGCAGAATTTTCCTAATGTATTCTTAACCCCACAAGAGGCCATGGCCTCAGGTCATTTGCCATGGGATTGGAGAGGGGTGTTGCATGTGTCAGGATTAAAAACCCAAAGCAAGCCCGAAGCAGCATGCTTTGTACCATGATTTGGGGGTTTGAAACATGGTGGTATTCAATGTGCAAGTCCAACTGTGGTTCACCGACCTCCTCCCAATGCCTCCTGTAAGCCTCATCTCTGCCCAGTCCATGATCTTCTGGGATCAGGCTGGCTGACTTCTTCCCAAACCCTCTCTTTGGAAAGGATGTGAAATCCTGCAGAGAATTTGAGAGACTTATATCTTCCTACAGTGTGTCTATTCTAAGCTTAATCCTCATGATGATAAAACAGCATGAGAGATTCTGGCTCCTGCCTCAGGAATTTCAGGGTCCCGCACGGTCAGTGTACACTGTAATCTACACCTCCCGGGGATAACTGTCCTCTTTGAGTTCAGCAATAATAATAACATCTACGTATTTATTGAGCATTTGTTGGCCAGGTATCTGTGGCCAGTGCTTTGCATCTTTTCCTTAAATCCCCCTACTCACCTATGAAGAAGGGGCCCCCACCCCCTTATAGAAGAATTAGAGGTTCAAGGATGCTATGCTACTTTCCTAGGTCCTTTGAACTAGTAAATGGGCCAAACTAAGACTTGAACCCAGGACTTTCTAACTCCAGATCCTGGGTTTATGGAATCAGCATCTTTAGGATGAATGGAGGGATTTCAGGGGCCTGGTTTGTTGTGTGGCAACCAGCAAAGTGGTCAGGGAGGAGCTTCAGGCCAGCGGGTACGTAAAGACTGGCACTTCTCAGGCCTGGCTTAAACCCTAACTGCAAAAAGGGGCCAGCCCTTAACTGTAAGTGCTCCTTCTGAGTATGCATCCAGACTGCTCCATCCCTTCTCATGTCCTTTGCACTGTTGCCCGCAAGCACAGTTATTCACAGACTTAACCTGAAGCCTGGCTTCTGTGCGTCCTCACCTCCTGCCCTTGTGGTCATCCTGGGAGGAGGCACCGTTGTTACAGCATTCAGTGAAGTTCAGTCAGGGAGCCAGTGGGGGAGCCGGGGTTGGAAGCCATGGGGCTCTGTGGTTCCTGAGTGCCAGCCAGGCCTCAGGCTCAGCTCCGGCATCTAAGTCAAACCCCTGAAATCATGCTCACCACCCATTTCTGGGGTCTGTCCTAGGCGAGATGCAGATGACAAGTTCCTCAAGCTCCCGGCTGTCTGGCTGCTTCCTCTCTCTGATCTTCCTCCAGCTGCCTGCGTGCCTGTCAGGTAGGAGCCTCGGCACCTCTCTCCCAATGGAGTCTCCAGAATAAGGAGGAATGGCCCGAAACTTAACATTTTTTGGGTTCTGCTCTTCCCCCAGTCATTTCCAATGCCCTTCCTGGGCTCCATCCTTCCCGGTGGTACCCTCTTCCTTGTCCCCTCCTAAGCTTTCTCCCTCAGCTCCTCCCAGCTCACCTTGTCTTTCCTTTGTTCATGCACAGGGAGTGCAGGCAAGTCCCATCTGGTCTGGCCTGGGGGCACGGCGGAGCTGCTGTGCCCACTGTCCCTCTGGCCGATGACTGTACCGGAGGAAGTGAGATGGCTGCGGCCCTCACACCAGCAGGGCTTCCGTGCTGTGCACGTGTTCCTGGGTGGGAAGGACAGAGATGAAGATGTGGTGCCAGAATATAAGGGCAGGACAGTGCTTGTGACAGATGTCCAAGAGGGCAAAGTCTCCCTGCGGATCCACAATGTGAGCCTTGAGGACCAAGGACCTTACCTATGCCAGATCCAGGTTGGAAACCTGACGCAAGAAGGCACCGTGACCCTGCGGGTTGCAGGTTAGGAGGGGGTTGAGGTGCTTGGGGTCATTTATGGGGTCTGGATGAGCTTTAGGGATTGATAAACTTTTCTTTCTTCAGAAAGCAGTTTTTTCTTGCATGGATGGGCCAGCATTAGCTGGCTGGTCTGCTGATCACAGGTGAAACTGTACAACTCTGGCCTGGCATGAGGAAGAAACCCGGGCTATGGAAAACACTACACAGTGCAGGTGCTGGTTAAAGATAGCTGGTGGCCTGTCCAGCTTGTTGACTCAGGCAGTAGCGTTTCCTTCCTGGGTCACATTTCTTCATTTCTTCAAGAAACACATAACCATGCTTTTGGGAAAAGTCCTCACTTGTTAGAATAACCAGCTGTGACATGGATTTACTTAGAGTCATTCTGGGGGTACCTGAGTTCTGAAAGGTCAGGGAGGTGGAGATAGAGGCTCTCAAATGGAATTCAATATTTAAAAAATGTGTATATCAGCCTCTTAAAACTCAACCCAACCTGACTCAACCCAAGTCTTTTTATTTGTTTGTGTGACAGCAGCCCCGTGTGGTTACACGCTGATTATCTTTTGGTCATATACCAAAAAAGAGGGCATGTGACCACTTTAATAAATAGACCTCTTTAAAACACACAGCAGCTAGTATAAAGATGCTTCCCAAACATGGAAAATGGCTTGGGGCTGCAAAATAATTTTTATTTTTAAATTTATTTTATTTTTTAAAATTTTTTTGCAGAACTGGGGATTGAACTCAGGCCCTTGCGCTTGCCAGGCAAGCCCTTATTCTACTGAGCTATCTCTCCAGTCCCCCAAAGTAATTTTTAAATGGAGGTTGAAGTGCCCAGAAGAATTTAGAGTCAGGTGATGCAGCTACTGCCATGAGTGGATTTTGAAAGGAATTTGGATAAAGCTAGAGACCGTCTTAACCCACTGGGAAGAGGGTGGAAGTATGGTACGGAGAGGCAGACATGTAAGTTTGACAGTTGCCCCTGTTCCTCAGAGCAGGCTGTTTAAGGAGGTCCTCTGCACCCAGGGCCCTGACCAGAACCACACATGTGCTGAGGTCCAGCCAGGGCATTCCTGGGCTGGTTTACTCAGGGAGTCTAACCCTTCCAGTTCCAGGCTCTGAGCTTTAGTTTGGATGCTGGATGGATCCCACTGCTGTGCAGTCAGTGGGATGGTTCCAAAGACTTTGGGACAGGCAGAGAAACCCTGAAGGCAGGTGCTTCCATCCCTGGCTGCAGTCTACTCCCTGGACAGACTGCGCTCTTCTGAACAGCAGTACCCAGCAGAGTCAGGGACAGTACTCTGGAATATGAACTTTTTTCTTGGTGGTGGTGCTATGGACTGCACCCAGGACCTTGTACATTGTAGGAAAGTGCTTCACCACTGAACTACAGCCCCACCCTGCTGATGTGCCCTGTACTGTCTGCAACATAGTCTTCAGCTAAGAGAAGAGTGCAGGCGTGGTCGTAGTGAGTGGTAGGGTGGAAAACAGGCGTGAAGCACACAATGGGTCTAGAGGAAGATCTTGCCCTCGTAGAAACTTTTAAATTTTTCAAATTCTAAGAATAAAGCATGTGTGCTGTAGAAAATGAAAATTAAAATGATCAGGGTTGGGGATTTAGCTCAGTAGTAGAACCCTTGCCTATCAAGCTGGGAGCTAGGGGTTTGGTTCTTAGTACCAAAACCAAAAAAATGAACCTCAGCTAAAAAATGACCTTCAGTCTCAGAAATGATAAAGAAATCCTGATAATAGTTGATATATTTCTTCTAGGCTTTCCTGCATGCTTGTATCTCCAACTAGCATGGGTGGTCGTGTGTGTATTCCTGGTCTGGGTCCCCCCCCCCACTGCCCATGTCATGAGCAATTTTTGCCTATGTCCTTAAGGAATATTTTGTAACATGCTTTTAGATGCTTCATAGGATTTCACGGTGTGGCTACAGAATAATAAAGAAATAACCAGTCTGTTTGGGGAAATCTGGGTTTAAAAATTCTTTTCCTTTATATCATAATGGTACAATGAAGATCCCTGCATAGATTGGGAAGGTGATTTTGATTGTTAGAATGTGTTTCTGGAAGTAGAATTAATGTGTTAACAGGCACGAGACTTTTAAAGACCTGTGAAACAGGGAGTCTTATTGTAGGGAATCATGGTTTCTGAGCCAAGAGAGATGTACAAGGCCTGGGCATTTGCGGGGAAGAGGGGCCAGATATCTGTTAACCGTATTTTCTCTCCCTCTGTGTCCATCCCTTCTCTTACTACTGCCATTGCTCCTGCCTAGGTGCTAAGTTATTAATCTGACCAATCTCTTCAAATCCCATTCAAGCCCTAGGAGACAGCACCCCTTATCCCTACTTGACAGATGAGACAAACCCAGCTGGCACATGCCACTTGTCTTAGCCCTCTTTTCTTTTTTTTTTCCTTCTCTTTTTCTTTTCTCTTTTCCTCCCTTCCCAACTAGGCTTTAAGCCTGCTGTTTTGCCCTTGCTGATGGTGCTGAGGGAAAAGATACTGCTGACTGCTGTTCCAAGCAGGCAAGAATTTGAAGAGGAGGCAGAGAGATGTGCCTGAGGAGGCTATGGGTGGTTACTCAAGAAAGCACCTGAGGGTCTCTGAAGCCCCCACATTATTTTTTCTACTGAGGTCAGGACAGAACAAGATTATGGTTGAGAACTGACCTTGAAACATCCTCAGGCAGGACCATCAAAACCCTTCCTGAGAAATGAACATTTCCCTGGCCTTTAATGCTCTCCAATGTTTGACTTACCGTGAGAAACAGTCTGTTGGTTGGGGTGTCCCTGGAGGTGGTGGAGGCAGCTGGGACGTGCGTGGGCCATCTGATATCTGAGGCAAGGGAGCTGCTCCCTCGTGTCTCCCTGAGGTGCTCATTGGTGGTCTGTTTCAGTCCCATCTTCGGAAAGACTCTCTTCCTCAACAGTGGCTCTGGCTGTGGTCCTACTTGTCCTGGGGATGCTCACCATAGCAGGCATTTACATCATCTGGAAGCAAAGAAGGTCAAAAGGTAACTAGGTAGTGGCCTAAGGTGTGGGAGATGGCTACTCTGGGAAAACACCAGAAAGAAGTAGAAATAGATATGATGCTTGTCCACAGACTGGAGACTGTCCAAGTGGATGGGAGAAGGCGGGGAGAGTGCACCCTGGAGACGCACATTGCAGAAGGAATGCAATAAATTGTGGAAAGGCCCAAGGCAGACTTATAAATGCTTATCCTCTGAGAAATTAGACAATAATTGAGCATGCTAGCCTTGTAATTAATTAAGAAATGAAGACCTTCTAATCAAGAAATCCAATTGTATTCATTGGATTAAACTCTCATAAAAATGGCCACATTTCACAGAGATCCCACGGTTGCAATGGTCTTGGAAAGTTACAAAAGCCAACACTTCTCTACCTGCTCTGTCTGATGGCTTGAAGGCCCTGTAATCTTTCCAAAAGGTCACACACCCACTATGACCAGCAGTCACTCCTACTCAAGTAGCGTGGGTCATCTTTGGACAGCTATGTTTGCTAGAAATAACCCTTCTTAAATTCCAAATTATGTATTTCTCTTTCTCTCCCTTCTAGAGAAGCTTCTTTATGAACAGGCGATGCAGGTAGGTAAGTGTCCTAGGCTGGGGTAGGGGAGAAGTTTCTGTTTTGTTGATTTTGGTGTCACCAGATCCCAAAATTAAGTTGTGTATCTGAAAGTCCCATCATCCACTGTTCTTCGTGATGGTGATGGTATGTAAGTCCATCGTTTGTAGTTTTCATTAGGTCTTGTAATTGATTACCTTCCAATATTTGGTGATTTTTATTTGTGATCTCATTGCTCAATTTTCTTCTGTGGGAATTACGTGGGTCAAACCTGGGGAAGCCTTTATTCATTCAATAAATAATTGATAGTCATCTATTAAGTGTCCTTGACCATAGTAGATGCTGGAGATTTGATGGTGAGCAAAAGCAGACACAGCCCTGGCCTCCTAAAACTTCCAATCTAGCCAGGAATATTACATAAATTAAATAATTACTCAAATAGACTATGTATAAATGCCATGAAGTAAAGGTCCCAGCTCTGTGACAGCTGTGACCAGGAGAACTAACCACGCTTTCAGGCCCAGGATGTGATGTTCCATTGGAAGCATGGGAAATAGTGAGTTAGGCAAGAATGGAAAACCTGCCAAGCAGAAATGACAGTCTGAGAAAGAAGCATGGTCAGGAAGAGAAATATTTATGCAAGGAGTGAAAAAGTCCAGACATGTGGAGAAAGGGGATGGAGCAGAGTCATGAGGCGTCTTTTAAATCACAAAAATTTCGGTCTCTTTTCCAAGCACAGTGAATGGGGACATCTGGATCAGAAGTGTGCTTTGAAAATTTCTTCCCGGTTGCAATGTTAAGAAGAAACAAGATGTGGAGGACAGTCTGGGTTGCTATTTGTGTCAGCCAGATGAGACACCATGAGGGGCTGAGGAGGGAGATGGGATGAAGATGGACAGATTCAAAAGCAGGCAGAGCCAGTAGGAATCAGGGGTCCTCAGGGTAATGCAACACATTTTATTTCCCTTTTCTTCCTTTAGAAAATCTTCTTGAAGATCACGCAAAAGAAAAAGGTAATGATAGATAAAGAGCAAGGGTAGGCAATAAGTAATATATTGTTTTTCCTTATATGTAATTACTGATACTTTATTAATATTATTGGAATTGGGCTTCTAGCATCAAGAGGCTATGGGTTGGTAGCAGTGGGTGAGGACATGCTCACGATCAAAATGCATAGTTCTGGGTCCTCAGAAACTCTTCACCAGCCTTGCTACCAATCACTAAAAAGGGAGTCTGCATATTGTTTAAACATGTTAATATGATCATATGGGATGAACGAAAATCTCAAGAATCCACAGAACCCTGGCCTGGAGAGAGTAGTGTGATACAAGGGGAGGGTCACAGTCAGCAGCACCTGACTCAGCTTAATGGCCTACTGCTTATTGGCCTTGAATAAGTTGCATTACTTCTCTGAGCTTTGGTCTCCTTATCTGTAAAATGGGAATAATAAGTACTCTTTTTTTTAAACATTTATTTATTTATTTTGTGTGTGTGTGTGTGTGTGTGTGTGTGTGTGTGTGTGGCCAGCTCAGCCCACCAGGGGGCGGGGCTGGCTGTATTTCATCCAA